TATATCAAAATTTTAAATTTAAAATAATAAAATATAAATCATATGATACACTCTATTATTTTAATTTTTTAATGTGTGTTTTGTTTAAGATATTCAACACATAACTAATTTTATTGTTGTGAGATTCGTTTTCCTTCCCCTCCTTCTCAACACTTCTCTCATTTTTCCTTTTCTCCATACACTCTTGAGTTGTTCTCTCATTCTCTTTTCCTTTGCTAAACTTTCTTGCGGTGATTTCTTGGGTTGAAGGTGCTAATTAGAGAGTACGGAGCTAGCTGAGAGTCGGAGTTTTCTCTTCTTCTTCTCCTCCACTTCCCTGGAGCTCGAATTTCTTCTCCTCCGAGGTAAGGGAAGCTAGAATCTTGCTGATTGTTTGGAAGTGAGTTTAAAAACTCAAGAGCTGTTTGTTTCTTGGAGAATGAGGGTCGGATTTGAGTGTTGCTTGTTTTCGGGGTTTTGGGAGAAATGGTGAAAATTTGGGATTTTTGAGTGTTGATGGTTGCATGTTGAAAAAGTGATGATTTTTGAATTGTTTGCTGAAAACGTGGTTCCTTTGATGGATTGCATGTGCTTGAGCTGTTTGTTTTTGCAAGATTTGAGTGAAATTTTTGAAGTTTGAGGGTTGTTGTGTGATAGTGCGCCGGGCGTAGTTATTTGCGCTGGGCGTGTGTCCATCAGAGTGTTCCATTGTTCAAGCACACCTAGCGCAGGGTTGTTTGCACCAGGCGAGCTTAAGAATGGAAGCCCCTGGATGGCTCACGCTGGGCGTGATATATCAGACAGGGACTCACAATTTTGGGGTACTGGCATGGCTCCGGGCGGGATTCAATCTCGCCGGGCGTCGAGACTCCATGGGAGTCTCTACTAAGGGTGGCGCCGGGCACAATTGGTATTGCACTTGGCGTGAGACCTGGGGAGGTCTCTTCCTTGCTTGCGCCAAGCACGAGTTGGGTACGCCGGGCTTGTGAGACTCCTGAGAGTCTCTGCCTTCTATTGCGCCTGGCGCAATTGGTATTGCGCTGGACGCGTAAGAGCTTTGGAGCTCTCTGGTTGGTCAAGGCCGGGCGCAAATCTTATTGCGTTGGGCTCGGATGTGTTCTTTCATAATTATGCTGATTAATGCTGATTTATGCTGATTAATGTTGTATGATGTAAAGTTGAGTCATGCTGTATGATGCTTTTGCTGATTAATGTTGTTGAGCCGAGCTGAGTTGTATGCTGTCTAAGTTGTTAATGCTATTATGTTGTGCTATGCTGAGTGTTGAATATGTTGTTTATAAAAGGCTGAGTTGTTGTAGGTCGTAAGGCTGAGTTGTTAAATCACTAAAAATAGAGGAGATCTCCTAAATGAAATGCTTGACGACGCATAAGCTGTATCCTTGTTGATTTTTGTTGAATGATATAAGCTGAGATGTAGATGTATGTTGACATGTGTTGTATGTTAACTTTGCTGAAATTGATGATGTGCTAGTAAGTTGAAGTTGTTTATAATTTTCATATATGTTGATTCTTTTCACTAGCTTACCCTTATTTGTTTCCATGTGGATTGGACTGCTATGATCATACTATGTATGAGAGTAAAACAGGGATAGGCTGGAGTATAGTAGCAGGTCTGTAGCTGTTAGATGGAGCTGATGTTTTGTTGTTATGGCTGCTTAGTGTAGTTAGGCTAATGTTTTTGTATATTGACATGTTGAGTCCCATACTAAACCTATGTGTATATATATTTTCTATTTATATGCATACTATATTCTGTGTGGTGTTGTTGTTGTGTGACGGTTAGGCGGATCGTTACAATTATGTGAAGAAAGTTTTTTCACATCAACTTTCTCTTTCGTGTTAAGATTATACAAAAAAAAGTAAAAAAAAATAGCTTAATTTTATTCATCACACCAATGACTTTGTGGTAAATTAATTTTATCGTTGCCGATGATAAATTAATTCTATCATTATTGACAAGAGTCAGGGAATTTCATATTGAATTTTTTTATTAATAGTTATTTTATAATAAGAATTGATATGATAATCTTACACATTATTTCAATTTTTTGATTTTTAAGATTGCTTTTTTCATATATAGTGAATTTAAATGAATTGTTAGTTAAATGTAAGAAAATAATATGTCTATTGTTTTACTGAAAGTGGACCAGCTAAGAAATTTGTCTTTGTATGTGAGTTGTGAAGTATAGTATCTAATAGGAGATGAGTAGTGATGGGTTATGGAAAATGGAAGCAAAGGTGGCAAGATGAGTGGTGAAGTTAGTGAGTTCTAAATAAATTGGGACAGAGTTCGGAAGAGAAAAGCTTAGGAAGAAGCAGTACAGGATGAACTCGAGGACCAAAAATGAATAGGACTAAGGCTGGGGTTGGGCCTGAAAAGGAGAGGCTGCTTTTGTCCTTCTGACACATTTGCACATGGGGATGGCTGCCACTTTTCTTCCTAGAGACAAATGTATTATTCAATACCTTTTCTTTTCTGAGACACAAATATATTATATAATATTATTTTTTTTATTATATATAATTTATGTTACAAAGTATTTCTCCATCTTTTTTTGGGTTTGTTTAATTACAATTTTTTTTTTTATCAATGAGACTCATGTTTAAAAAATTTAAATCCAACTCTACTCAAACTATTAATTTTGAGACCGAAGTTAAGTGACAAAAATATGAACATATTTATACTAAAATATGAGTTCAAAACTCATTATTGATATAAAAATTTTGTAATGAGTATTCTTTTAAGTTAAAATTTCGTTATTCTTTCTTAACATAAATAAATAAATACTCACTTTTTCATTAATCGATGTAAGCTCTAATTGTATATAATTAATAGACATACATTTAAATATGTCATGCCTGAATTTTAAGAAAGTGATTTCAAATTTTGTTATCAATATAAAGATTTTATTAATAAATATTCTTTAAAAACGTGAGTTTGAATCCTAGTTAATGCAAAGACTTTGTAGATGAATAATATATAATAACTATAATATGTATTTCCTAAATTTTGAGACTTGGTTAATTTTTATTCGTCAATAAATATTTCAATGATGATAATATGGTTGAAACTCGTTCGGGCTCAAATATTTGGAAGATGATATTAGGTTTTGGATAACTTTGATTAGCTTTAGGAACTCTATTTAACAATTATTTTTAAGAAGAATATTGGAGAGAGACAAATGTATTATATAATAATTATACTTTTACTTTTGGGAGAGACAAATAAAGTATATTATAATGATAATATAATGTTTGAGGCAGGGACAGGGTGTGGGGCTGTGGCCCTGTGGGATTGGGACTGGCCCTTCATGATTATGTTGACTTCACCCCTACCCTTACCCTTCACAGTTCACACTACACAGCTTTTCGTCAAACCCTTTTCACCATAGGGAATTTTCCTTTTCATTTTCCTTTTCCACCACGTCACTCTCCTATTTTGCCTTTTTCTCTCCTTGCCCTTCCAATGATGCTATTGCACCAACCATTTCCAAGCTAAAAGTCCATTTTCAAACCTGACACTCGTCTCAAGGAGGGTGCCCCCTTCTGTCTCACCTCATATGCCTCCCTTCTGTTACTTCATTCTCAACTTCGTTAATATCAATTCCAAGAAACACAGAAAATACAAACATGTAGTGCCATTGCCATTGTCGTGAAACCATCGCATTGTACTAATGGTTTTAAAAATCAAAATAAAATTCTTCCATTTTTAAAAGAATGTGTGTAGGGAGCACCATGATTACCATGTGGTCCTTCTCTCATGCTACATTATGATGTATGTCAACTATCATTAATTACAAATAAGACAATAAGTTTGAATTTGAAAAATTAGAGATTAATTTTAGAATATCATTTTATATAAGCTTTATTTACAGGTAAGAGACATATCGTTATCAGCTATGTCTAAATCATAGGTAGCATAAGTATGATATTATTTCTATAGACCTCCTAGTGTACATTCTGTCTTTTCAAGGCGAATATCGCGATAGCATACTAGCATATTCACATTATAACTTTCACAACTACTATCAGAATAGTTTTACATTTAGTTTTTTTTTTTTTTTTTTTTTTTTTTTTTTTTTTTAACTTTTATCTATACTTCTATACATAAACACATAATACAAAAGTTCACCGCCATTTTTGTCCTGTGTAACTAATATCATACCACTTTTTTACATGTGGCTTACAAAATAATTTAATATTTACTTGTTAACGCAGAACACATTATTCGATTAACTGAACTAATTTGCAATTCAATTTATCTATGGTTGCAATTTGGTTATTTCCTTGAGAACCGTTGCTACTTTATATGGTTGATTTAATTATTCAATTATATTGTTAGAAATGATGGTGCCGAGAACTCGAGGAGGCCGAAAAGAAGGCATCAGAAAGTGAGCATAAACATATATACTATATAATATGAGACATCTTTTATAGTATACGGCCATCACGCAAAGTCAATATAAAAAGAGAAGCATCATTCTCCTCCTTGTAAATTGTAATGATGAGAACTCCAACATTTTCAAAAGTGGGTCCTTCCTCTATGGGCCCTACCCTCTTGTACCATACCACAATCCATCAATCTCAAAGCACCAAAGAAACAAATTAACATGCAACACCATGTATTATACAACAACAGTAGCATCATTTTAATTAAATTAACACAAGAGAGCAAATGTCACATGCCTTATATATCCTCATCTCATGCAGTACCATCTATTATCTCTGAGCTACCTAACATCATACATCTCATATTGATATGTAGACAAGAAATGGGTTCCCTGTGTTCCCCGTTCCTTGCAATGATTCGTCCTTTATTCCTCTGCTACCACTCCCTAAGATTGGAGCTAGTGGTCTTAGCTTCCATTAATGTAGCTGAATATTTGATGAACCGCTTCTGCAATGTCACTTGCTGAACATAGCTTACAGTCTTCTTCAATCTGCATTATTACCACACCACACCACGCCAAACCAAAGTCAATTATTTATCACCAAAAATTGAAAAAGAAAAAGTGTAGTGATAGTCGTAGTACAGCACTATAGCACAAGGAATATACTAATGTTATATGAATAATAATAGTAATAATTTACTAAAAGAAAATTCCCTCCATAATTATAATTATAATGATAGACAATGTTGGAAATAGGGAAGGCAGGTTTTGCTTAGATTGCAAGTCAGAGAAGAATAGTACACTGACTTGATTCCACTTTGTAGAGTTGACCATATTAAAAAAAAAACACACACAATTGTGGTGAAAAGACATAGTAATACCTTGAGATTGAGGGAGTAAAGGACAGAAGTGTCTGAGGATGTGATGTTGAGGTGCAGAATGGTTAGCCTAAGGTCCTCCAAAGCAACAATGACTTTTATCAATTGCCCTGGCCTCCTTCGGCACTCAATTTTCAAGTTCACATGGGTTTGAATCAAGGTCACCTTTATGTCTGCAGCCTCTGACTTGTTTTCTGCCTTAACCTCATCTCCACAGTTCATTTCCTCACTCGATGATGACCTCACTCCATATCCATGTGGTGATAATAATGATGATGGTTGTGAAGAAGAACCACCACCACCCTCTTCATTCTTTCTCATCCTTTTTTGTGCCTCCAGGGACTGAAGCAACTGCTCCAATTCCTTCACAAAATCTATTGCACCCCCAATTATTGAGGCTTGGTCACCCTACCCCATGAACAACATCAATATCAATAAAAAGGATAAAAAACAAAAACAATTTTTTAGCATCCGACACTGCAAAAGATTGGATTTTTAGCACGGATAAAGCAAGGGAAGAGACTCTGAGATGGTAAAAACCCACTTGCATACTAACTACATACAGGTTTTAGGGGTTTTTGTTGCTATTTATCAATTTATCAATTAAAGTTGAAGTTTCACCCAATTCTAATTTACACAAAAAAAAACTCATGAAATTCCATCTAAGTTTTGTATTTTGAGGAAATGGGTTTGACAATTGGCCTCCAAGTTTTTTCTTAAAAAAAAAGATTGCATTTTTTCATATAATGCATAGTTGCATACCCTTTGAATATATGAAGGGGGCATGAGGGACCTTAGGACAGTGAGGTGGTCATTCATTTGGCGTCGCCGGTTGCGTTCGACAGCAATGTGTGTCATGCGTTGGTTCTCCACATCTTCCTTGTTCTTGCTTGGCCTTGTTCTTTTTCTCTTTCTCCTTTCCCTTATGGCTGCAGGCTGAGATTTGGGGCATGATTGTGCCGTTTTGTGGTGTTGTTCCTGGTTGCACTCATAGCTCACTTTCTCAACACATGAAACTGAAAGAGGGTGTTGGAGCTCATTGCTTTCTGACTTCACTGGTGACTGCATCTCCAACATGTCATGTGTCACACAACTCTCTAGCTCCAATGCTGCTTCCATTCTCGGAATGCATGCTAAACCCTCCCATGGTTTCTTGAGGTGCTGAAGCCTCAGGAGCGTTTGAAAGTTTGGCTCTTTGAGAGGGAAAATCTGTGGGGATTCCACACTCTGAAGCATCTGAAGGAATGGCATGTTGTCCTCTAAGCTTGATATCAGAAGTTGCTCTTCCTCCTCAAGTCTCAAGCCTTCTGCGTCCACCAGAACTTGGTCCAAACCCAAGTGATCTCCGAAAAACTGCAAGAAAAGGAATTTAGTACAAGGAATGAGAAAGAAATAATGAGAAGGGAAAGTGAGGTATTGGTTGGATTTCACTTTCACAACCAACTTAGTTCAAAAGAAGGAGGGAATATATGGTTCCATTAATGGGGTTAGGGTTGGGTCAGAATGGAGAAAAGGGCAAGTGTCTATGCAGTAATAAAGAGGAATGTGAACAACGGGGGGCAGATAGATGCACATTGAGGAAAATAATAGCACAATGCATTTAATGCAAACGTTTTGAGGAGTAAATGCAGTACTTTTCTTGGTTCTAGAAATGGGGTTGAAAGAAAAGGAAAAGGAAGAAGCAAGAAAGTATAAAATAGTAAACATACACATGAATTGAGGGGTCTCTCCATGAGCATGAAAGCTGAGCAGTGATGAAATGGTGTTAATTAAATGGTTTCTTTCTTACTTAGAGGGTGACCAACATTCCGTATGGTAGTGATACTAAGAAAAGAATGGTAATAAATGTAACCCGGAAGAAGCAGAAGGAGACCCCATATGAGTAGTAACAGTAGCACCCTCCAAATATATTCCCTAGTGTGTTGTGATGGCTTTGGTAGTCTCTTATATAGAATAGCAATAAATGCTGTGCTTGGAACAAGGCTCAGGTCACACAACAGTAGTGGAGACTAGAGAGGGATATGGTAAGAAATGAAAGGTGGAAAGTTGCCAACTGGGGTTATAAGAGATATGCATTTGAAAGTGTGTTATGTTGTTAATGTGAGAGTGTGTTACTTTACTTAGTTGTGTTGTCTGGTTTACGAGGTCCCAAGCATTATTGACCAGCAGCGGGGACAGACACTTGTGGGACTCTTCATTTCTCTCTCATATGAAGGAGGGAAATTGGAAAGTACGGCAAGGAAGGGAAGCCTTTGTGTTTTAATAATTAAAAATCAATGGAAAGGCTTTCTGTGGATTGTGTGGTCTGCATGATGTTTGATGGATCATTTCCCATTTCCTATTCAGGCTAGTTTAGTTACAGATAAGAACAAAATTGCATAACCTACGTAATGTTTAGTGAATCAATCATGTGGGATTATTAATTCGGCATTATCTGAATTCATATTTGTTGGTTAATATACAACTTTATCTTCTGTTTTGTTTTTCAATTATTTTTTTTTATTAATTCATCTCGACTAAACAACTCTAACTTTTATGGTTTTCTTTGATTTATAACAAAAAAATAATTTGTTTAGTTGTTTAATAGCCTAATCAATATGAGACATAATATACTGTAATTATAAAAGTGATAAATTTTAATTTTTATTATTCTTCTTTTAAGTTGAAAAGAACCAATTTTAATATGGGTCTCACAGATTTTAATAAAAAAATAGTTTTGGATTATTGAAACTTATGGTTACTTTATGCTATGTAAAAAAATTTAAGAGTTGATCTTTATCCAAAGGATATGGCTTCTTTGCCCTGCAGCTGTTCAAGTAGTCAATTTATACTGCGTATGGAGGGAGAGCAAGTACGAAGGTAAAGCCTCTTTCTTGTTCATGTACGGCAATGCATCATAACACTGTCAATTGCAATGCCTATTCGGTTTTGATGCATATTATAATTTATGTTACTCCAACTAGATTCATCATAACCTTCTCGTTAAAACTATACTAATCATAGTAATTAACTAAAAGCAAGTTTAGAAATTGTTTGTTAGATTGTGTTTAGCTTATTGTTTAGAAATTGTTTGTTGGAATGTGTTTAGTTTATTGTTAACCAAAATGTTGAATTCTTTGAAAAGAATAGCCGGAAAAGTATTTCACATACATTAGTAAATATTATATTTTTAAATTTTTGACAAGCATCATTTTATTATTAATTTGGAGGATGATTCGGGCATTTTTTTCTTCTGAATATAACATCACTTTATTTGTTTCTAAACGTCCGTTTAACAAAAAAAGTTACGAATTGTTACTTCTATTGTTAGTGTATAGGAAAGAAGAAATATTCGTTTGTATATGTGTAAATAGGTTTCTAAAAATGCTCTTAATTGTTGTTTGTCTCTCTTTGTCAAGAAGATACAATCACTGAATCACATACATATAACTTGAGTTGCTTATTTAGAGATAACTTTTTTCTAGTTAAGAAAATGAAATTAATTGATGTTTACATTCATGTTGATTGGTCAAATAATAAGAATAAGTCTATTGATTGAAGTTAGTTAAATACATGAAGATTTTAAGTTTGATATTAATAAAAAAAATGTTTAACCAATCAAAACTTCACATGTAGGATTCTAAAGTGTATTTGGTAGAGTGCAAGAGAAAAAAAGAAGGTGAAAAGTGACTTTTAGAGTGTATTTGATAGTATGAAAGTGTGGGTAAGTTTTTGGTGAGTTTTACATAGATTTGTTTTCTCAAGAATGAAAAAATTTGCGTGAAAGTTATTTTAAGTTACAAATTTATCTTCCTTCACCAATTGAAAGTGCTTGTAGAACTAAAAGGCAAATATGTAATTTAATTTATAATATTAATTAAGTTTTTATTTAATCAAATATAAACTAATTTTTTTTTTTCTATTTCTCTCTTACTTTTCTCTTATCAACTAATTTTAATTTTCAGTCAATATCTTACTTGATTTTATTTTTTATTTATTTCTCTTCTCTAACATAAGTTAAATGAATTCTCATTAGATTTATTTTTGTTGCTTATAGTTTTTTTTTGAGTTTTCAGCATTGTTGTGACTCTAGAAAAAGGGATTTGTTTGATTAAAACTTTTCACAATTTACAATACCGTTCTTCTTGTTTCATACTGTTCTTCTTATCCGATTTTATAAGTCGAACCTAAATAAATGATAAAATTTTGAACTGAAGCTCATGCCAGCAGTCAGGCTTTTTGTTTAGCATTCATTATGTCTCCACCTAATTTTATTTATATTTTTGGTTACCATAATTTTTTAAATATGTAAATACAAAATTATTAATTATTATTTTTCCATAAAAAACGAACTTTAAGTTCTATTTGAATTCAATCCAAAGTTGCTTTGGAGATAATTAACTTATTCTTTGTGTCACTTCAATTATCTTCGCGGATGAAATTAATTAAGGATAATAGAACAAAACAGATTATTGACTTTGTTTTATGTAGGCATTGTGACTAATAATTGGTATTGGGAAACATGTAGGACTACCTTATCATTTACATATGATGAACTTATATCAGAAGATGGTTAAGTTTCCAAGTTGAAACTTTAGAGTGATGATAAGATAGAAAAAGTGTGGAGGGTAGCTAACACAGTAGATTTGGATAACATGGTAATAACCACGTATCTGATGTGTAGAAAATGGCACAACAATAGTTGGCCTCAAAAGCTACACACATTATCCAGTTGGGTCTTGTGATGTTGCACAAAATCAAATCCCCAGTTTGCATATATAATAAAGACAGTGCATGTGCATGAAAAATCCAATGAATATGTCATGTTTGATGTTTCTTACTTTCCATGCTATCACGCGGATGAAGAATTCTGTCGTATAAGGCGATTTTCACTTTCTTCTTTTTCCTTTTCTATCGCTAATATACACCACTCGTAGTCATTTTATTTGTTTACTTTAGCATTTAATCTATGATAAGCATAAAACATATTTAGTTATTTACTTATATATATTGTTTTTCTTTTATAAGATGTCCACAAACACACACATACTCATATATAGAAAATAATAAATAATAGAGTCAAAATTAAGTTGAAAAAAAAATTCTTCTCACACTTACAAAATACACATTCCATTTTCTAGAATAATAATACAAACACATATTTATAGAACATTAAATCATAATTATCAACTCAACAAATGATAACTATAAACTATATTATTAGACTATATGTACAAACTAAATTATCAAATTATATCTTCATGTAGTTCGTATATTTAAATTACTCTATTTAATAGTTTTAAATATTATTTTGAGTATCGTAACATATATCCCTTAATAAAAACTAATTACTAATATCTCGAAATACTAATTATAATATTTATTTTAAGAGATGACTTCTTTCTGACATATATGTAACATTTAGAGATGAAAAGAGATGACACAAACAATCTGTATATAATTTATGAGTGATCTACATTTACTTTATTATTAAATTTTATTTTAAAAAAAAATATTTCTAACATGTCATAAATTAACGCTAACAGATGTCAAACTGATTGTAAAACCAAAATTATGTATTTAAAAAAAATAAATTACAAATTGAAAAAATAAGAGACCAAAAAATGAAATTTAATTTAGTCTACATATATAACTTATATATTTAAAAATATTTATTTTATTATAAATTTTAATTATATAAAAAAAATATCGTATATTACATTAGTTAAAATACTAATAAAATATAATAATTTAATAACTACTATTCTTAGTTTGATATTTTTCTTTTTTGAAGAAAATAAATTAAAATATAAATACATAGATTAAGAGTCATCATTTTAACAGAAAAGTATATTCTTAATACTCTATTGATGATTAAGGTACGGTGAAGATGAATAGAATAAAAGAATATGATAAAATAGAAAAAATACAAAATATTACCCCTTATAAATCATGTTAATAATCATATAATATAACTTAACATGATAATCATATAATATAATTTAACAAATAATCATATAAATTATAACAATAATGATAGTAAATGTAAGGATAATTTTTTTTTCAGTAATAATAAAGTAAAGTGTTAGGAGTGATATAATTAGTAATGACAAAATAGTAATGTTGATAAGGATAATAGTAATAGTGAAAATATTGATAATGGATAGAAAATTATGATAATAAAAATTATTATAGAAATGATGATAGTAATGGTGAATGTGAAAATCATAAAAATAATTGTGAAATGAATAAAGTTTGTTTTATATTGTATGAGCTGAATATTAGAAAAAATATCAATAATTATTATTATTTTTTCAATTAGTTGTATAATGAATTTAGGAATTAGTCTTAATTAGTAATTAAAGAATATAAATTATCTTGTAATATTTATATAAGAGAATATATCGTAACAAGTAAAAAATTCTTGACATGCTAAGAGTCTATCTTAGTTTGAGATATCCTTCATTTTTTTATTTTTTATTTTTGACTCGACTTGATTACTGATTGAGGTTTATTATTAATTTCTTATCATTTTAGTTCGAGGTTTTGTTGTCCAAATGCGAGAACCAATAATAGTTAGGACAGCAATTTTATATAATCAAATACCAACAATAATGCTAAGATCAATGAAGGTGGTGGTATCCATATTAATAATAACAATGAAAATTAGAGCAGTTAAAAAGTTGGGAGTAGTAATTACACTATATATGGTGGGAGAGAAAGAAAGATAGTAAGTGTTAGCACTTAGCAGCATAAATATGGACAAAAGTTGTGATGGTGTAACTACAATGATATTGATGGATAAAAAGAGAATATTATGCTACTTAATTAGGTAGTACAGGAGTAAAGATCCATAAAAGAATACCACTTCGTTATGTAGCTCTCTCGTCGAGATAAAATTTTATCTAATAAAAATAAGATAAGTTAGTGGAATAAATTTAACTTATTCTACCCACTTACTAAATTATAAATTTAAATAAGATAAAACAATTTAACCTATCATACTTTTTTTTTGTTGACCATCAAATGGATTCTTACATAGGTGTATATACTACTATATTTCTTCACAAATCACAAGAGAAAAAAATAATTTGAAACACGTTTCCATGATGACAAATTATATCCCCATTGTAAATTGAAATATATATTATTAGCAAGGCTAAGAAGGA